GTGCTCGGGCGGGGGTTGTGGGGTGCGGGCTCTGGGAGGGGGGATTGGTTAACTGCTCTGGTACCCCCTGTGGTTAACCTCTGGAGACTGGAGCAGCTCCTCACCCACCAAGGGCAGGGGGATGCTTCAACCCTGCCATGGATGGGGCACTCTAGCCCAGAGAATGCAGCCTCTGTCGGGGGCCTGGGTGCACCACAGGCAGGGGCTGCTTCAGCCTGTGTATGATAATTCTGTTTTTTACTATAGTTGTAGCCCTATTAGCCTGGTACTGAATTTAAGCTTACAAATCTGTAATTGCCAGGATTGATTTTGGAGCCTTTTTAAAATTACCATGGCAGTAGCTATCGTCAGTCACCTGTCAAAGAAACTGATTTCAATGAAAAGTTACATACCCCAGATAGGAGCTCTGCAATTTCGTATTTGTATTTTGCCTTCAAAATGGCATCTGGTCCTGCTGACTCGTATTGCTGTTTCACATATCAGTTTCTCCCAAAACATTTTCTACACATACCTCAAGCTGGAATGGTTCCTCAGATGTGTCATCATAAAAGGATTGGCTCAGGTGTGGGAATCCCCCTCTCATCCTCGTCAGCGAAGGTGGATGGAAGGAATTTATTTATCTTCTCCGTTATGGCCTTGTCTTCCTTGAATGTTCCTTTAGCACCTTGATCGTCTAGTGGCCCCACTGATCGCTTGACAGGTGCTCTGCTTTTGATGCACTTTAAAAATGTTTGCTACTAGTTTTTGAGCCTTTTGCTATGTTGTTATACAGTTGTCAGACTGTGAAACTTTGGAATACCCACTCCAGTACCGTGTCAGCTTGATCTTCGTCTGACCCCCGTTCTTAGCACTGTTCAGTTTTACAGGTGGACCAATGGTTATTACACGACAGATAAGATGTGAGGATGCTAAGTGCGAGTACATGACTAACTGGATACTCAATACAATTTGCATCGAGTACACAGTTAATCGGGTCCCTGATGGCTGCTTTGACTAAAATGAGCTGGGTAGCATTTAAAAGGCAAAGCTGCAATGCTGCTGTGCCTCTCCCTTCCCTGCCCAGCATCAGCTTCTGTTTCTCCCCCTCCCGCATCTTGCTGCCTCTGGTATAGAGGCCGCAAGGGGCGGGGATGTGAATAGTCCCTAATAAGATGAGCCAGATTTTCAGCCTAGTATTGATTGGGCTTTTGGTTTTGTTCCCAGAATTTGCAGACACAACAATTTGTGGAGGCAAGTTATTTGCTGCTGCAATGAAGGTCTTGTGAACATAGAAACCTGATTTGTGAGTGTAGATGTTTATACATTTAGATCCAAACAGTGCCTGTAATTATTTATGCTTGCAATTCACAGGTACAAAAGCAGAGGACAGTGTTTGACCAACCAGACCAATGTTTACAGATGACATCTAATAAGATTAGCAAACAAACAAACAGGGACCAAAGTTAGGCTCTTAACTCCATTGTTAAGCACATCAGTAAATAGCCTGTCTTTTAAAAGTTGTCAGCTCCCTAAGCTCTGTTTACTTCTTTGGGAGATGCTGGGGGCTCAACTAAGAATGTAAGTGACTAGTTGACTATCTGATAAGCATAAGCTTATCGAATAGTCGAGTAGTGATTTGACTAGTTACTTCACCCGTGTTGCCTATATTAGAGAGAGGCAGCAAGCTGGGGGAGCTGTATGTGGTTCTGGGGGGAGCTGGCTTAAAAGCCGGCTGTCCCCAGCGCCATCTCTGTGGGGAGGAGGCAGGGTGTCCGCTTGTGCTGGTTCCCACTGTGGCTGCTTCAGCCTTTGAAATGTACAAGAGCCCTATGGGCGTGGGGGTGCAGAGTGGACTCATATACATTTCAAAGGCTGAAGCAGCCTCATGGGAACATGGAGCCAGCGGGAACTGCTTGAGTCCCCACTGGCCCTCTGCTCTCTGTGGTGCCCTCCCCTTGCTGCCTCTGAGCCAGTTCCCCACAGCACCATCTCTGGGGTGCTGCCTGCTCCTCTCTGCTGTGTCTATCCCCCCACAGACAGGGTCTGCTGCCACCAAGAAGCCCCTGTTCACAGCACCCGGGGCTGGCAGTGTGGGTAGCTCCCAGAACCAACATGAGCCAGGACTGCTCAGCCCCAGCTCAAGTAGGCTCCTGGAACAACCCCTATTGACTAATCAGTTAGTCGATATTAGTTGTTTCGACTATATGATTAGTCTGATAACTGGATTTTAACAGCCTTAAGCTCAACATTTTTGGACATCGAGTTGCCTGTTCGGAAGTCTTCATATGGATTTTAAACCAAGCTTCCTATTTTTTGAAAATCTTGACCTGGAGTAGTAACATCTGGGGACGAATAAGTGTGCTAACGTCCATTACTTCTTCTGCCAGGATAGTAATCTTACAAATACTGTGTTGGTCTGAATCCTTAAGGTTATTATAGTCAGAATCCACCCAATCTAATTGCATTGCTTGAATCAACAGCATTCAGCCAGTCCCTAACGACAGTCTTGTCTTTAATTAATTAAATGAATGTGTTATTTTCCTTTCCCTTCCTGAGAAGTAATAATATGTTAATACAGTCTAACGGTGTCAGCCGATGGTCAGGGCAGTGAGTGGTGTGTGTGTGTGTTATACACTCGAGACTTCAACTGCTGAGACTGGGGTCCCTTCGCAGCGGGCAACCTGGAGAAGGTTGACGGGCGCCCCAAGAAGTTTACAGGGATAGCTTATTACACCTCAGATTTCAGCTGCTAGAATACAGGATCCCTTCTCAGCAGGCAAGGAAGGGAAGACTAGGGAAGACTGAGAGATGCCCCAACGGATCTGTCACCTGGGAGTGACACGATCCAAAACGCCCAAGCTCTTCCTAAACCTGTCCCTTATGACCGGCTGAAGTTCTTTTAAATTGTGCTTGGTTCTGTTACAGCAACTGAAGGAGTCAGGTCACAGCTTAAACAGATACTATTTTATTGTTACAGGGTAAACTTAGCTGTTAAATGTTACTACTGTGTTACAGATAACACAGCCACTACAAAGGACAGGACAGAAATTATACTAAGTCACTTACAGGTACCATGAAACCCTTTTGGTTCTCTGAGCTCTTATTAAATGCATGCAAAATAGACACCTAGCAGGTATATATTCTCACTCCTGCGTTCCAGACTTGGCGTGGCCAGCATCTTTCTCTCAATCCCTCGGGAAGAAGTAGGGCGAGGTTGGGCGTCCCACAGACCTCGGGAGACAATGAATACCTGCCAGCAGGTGTAGATGATTGGAGCTCAAATGGGGTGGGCTACTAAACCCCTCTTTATACTCCTTGGGTCACGTAGGCTTCTTCCTGGTCTCAAGTGGCCAATTAGGAAAAATGGCTTTGAATGCCAAGTTTCCCACGAAGGGTGCAAAGCATAATTCAGACCTGGGAAAATGCAGACAATGGGCACCTCTGGTATGTGATGGGCGAAGATTCCTCTCCTGGGACAGTGCAGGCGTGTCAATTACTGGTACTAGCCATCAGAGCGGCAGGAGGCCCCGGGTCATCAGCTAGCCCATTTACTGTCTGGTTTCTGTTTATGGTAGAGTCAGGGACAGGCAGCACACCTGTGTTCCCAGGGCATCAAAGGCTGACTGCCTTTCTCTTGCTCTCTGGGGGGGAAGGGGAAACAAGATGGGGTTCATGTCTGGCTACAAACGGCCAATTATTTTGCTTATTATTTTGTATGTCTGATGACAAGATGTGCCAACACCTATCAATTTAAGGAAGAGGTTGCTGACAGATTTAGTTCTATTGATTTACGCTATCAACTTAGATGGTAGGAAGCCTGTTTACTCCAACTAAGGATGTAGCCTGTCATGTTTTTACTCTCCTGCATGACTGGAGCAGCTATCACACCATTGGGCCAGCAGGGGCCCAAGTGTGGAGAAAGGGACAGCTATCTACTATAGAGTTCAGAAAGTTTGTCTGTGTGTCTGCCTGTCTCCCACTTGGGGGACATGCACCCCTGTCCCGGCTGTACTTTCTCATGAAGAGGCGCTTCTCACCTGACCCAAGCTGCTGCGGTGAGAGAGGGCTAGGGTCGTTCTCTGTTCCCGGGGCAGCTGCATCCTGAACCCACAGCCCCACTGTGGAGCAATGATTGAAATGGAGAAAACCAAAAATTATTCAAGCTATTAAGGACTTGACCAATGCTGGGTAAAACTTCTAGTGATGTACTTTACTGAAAGCAGCATCCATTCTGACTTGTTCCTGAGGAAGATGCAGGAGCTGAATGAGCTCAGTTCAATGTAAGTTGCCTCTAAAGAGCTTGCCTCTGTATAAAAGCTAGTTCCACTTTTCTCCATGTTCCTGTCAGGTATGGTTCAAGTGGCATAACCCCTGAACATTTGTATCAGGATAAAGATGTGATTTATTCCTACACAGGAAAGGGAGCTACTGTACAGCTGTGTCTAGACTGGCAAGTTTTTCCGCAAAAACTTGCCAGCTGTCTACACTGGCCGCTTGAATTTCCGGAAGAACACTGACTTCCTACTGTCTGAAATCAGTGCTTCTTGCAGAAATACTATGCTGCTCCCATTTGGGCAAAAGTCCTTTTGCGCAGAAGGGCCAGTGTAGACAGCTCAGATTTGTTTTGCACAAAAAAGCCCCGATCGCGAAAATGGCAATCAGGGCTTTTTTGCGGAAAAGCGCGTCTAGATTGGCACGGACGCTTTTCCGCAAAAAGTGCTTTTGTGGAAAAGCGTCTGTGCCAATCTAGACGCTCTTTTCTGCAAATGCTTTTAATGGAAAACTTTTCCGTTAAAAGCATTTGCGGAAAATCATGCCAGTCTAGACGTAGCCTACCAGTATAATGCACCTTGATCCTAACTGAGCCATAAGAACAGCCATAAATGGGTCAGACCAAAGGTCTATCTAACTTAGTGTCTTGTCTGCCAACAGGGGCCAGTGCCAGCCAGAGGAAATTAACAGAACAGTGAATCATCAAGTGATCCCTCCCCTACATTCCAGAAGGTAAATTTGGGATTAAGTGCTTGTCTGAATCAGGGCACGGTTATATCTGGTTATTTTCTAGTGCTGTGTCTAGAGACAGATTTATGCAGCACTGGAATTGAGGGCGGAGATGGCCCCCAAAATAAGGGTGGTTTACAAGTGTGAGCTTTGTTTCTTCTGCTGGTGACCGTGAATGTCGGGTTACACCTATATTATTCCCTGGCCCCTCCCCACTGGATTGGTATGAATGTTGCTGATAAAAGGTGCCACACATCTGAAGACATAGATTTCTTAGCTGTCACCTCTCTTGACTGTACATAATTGTCTGACAGCATACAAGCAGACTGTCTAGCACAAATATGGCAGGGGTTAAAAAATAGGACCTGGAAGACCAGTTAGTTGCATGGTACCATGATGGATATTGTCATTAAATAGAAGACGACAAATATTACCTAACACTATTCAAGAAGTGAACTCATTGGCAATGAAGACTTGTATCCAGAACTGGAAACCACTTTGCCCCCCTACAAATGATGGAAATATGTATAAAGGAGCTGGCAATCACAGATAGATTTAGCGTCTCAAAGTTGGAAGCCCAGTACAGAGCAAGACTGTCTCATGGAAATAATGAATGTAATTTTGGGAAATTAAATTTAGGTGACATATGGTGGAAATGTGAAATTTAAAATTTTCAGAGAGCGGGATTTCTGAGGGGAAAAAAAACCAAGGCAAATGGCTCAGCACCAGCAGTTGCCAGTGAGACTAATGAGGGCTGAGTCCTCCTAAAAATCTGTGTGGAAGATTTGTTGGATATTAGATCTGAAATCTGTCACTAGTACCAATCTGAACATTGTAATTTCGGCCAGTGTACGTTTTTGACAGGAAAATTCCTCATCCGGGGAAATAAAGCAGCACTAATCTGGCAAATTTATTTGTAAAAAATTGGCAGCCACCCAGATGTTGACAGAGTTGGAAGCAGTCCCAGTTGAGATGGATTAGTGGGCTGACCTCAGGCTAATGGTCAAACTTGTAGGATAAACACAATTCCTTATGTATTTCTGCCGTGCATGTACAGAGGGCGCATGCATATATGCATTTGTATATATCCCCACAAGTCTTCATGCTGCAACAAACATTTGAATCACAGCAGCCTGACACAATATGCCATGCATCTCTTTATCAGAGTGACATGCATACATATCTAATAATTTGTGTGACACCCTGCTCTCTGTGTTCACCCATTTGTAAGATTATGATAAATTTTGTACAAAGTACAACTTGTGAGATATCATTTGAAAAAGCAATAATCTGCTGAATATCATGATTCTGTTGAAATATGTAGAGCAACCCTACATGTGTAAGCAATAAGATTCTACTGGATAATTGTTAGTGAAATGGGTTATAATTCTGGGTAACAGCCAAAACTGTTTTTTTCTGAGACAAAGACACACTGGCACTCCAGCCAGGTATTACAGGCCCATTACCTGTGTAAGTGGCCATTTTCCAGCCGGTGGAAAGGAGTAAATAAGAAACTTAATCTTGTCATAGGTTGGATTGTGAAACCTCATGTCCACAAAAGATCACTTGTTGTCTGCACCTGAGCTGGGGGTAATCCTTAAAGGAGGGAGAGTTGTATAAGAATGGAAAACAAAGGCCTCCAACCCACCTCTGCTCCTCTCTTTCTGTTCATGACATCAATAAATACTAGGACATTGAAGCAAAGGGGAAGGGTCTCAGCCTGAAAGGAAATCCAGCCTGTGAACTGTTAGGGTACGTTTACACTATGACGCTATTTCGGAATACTAGAAGTATCCCAAAATAACTATTCCACATCTATTGAAGCAGCCTGTTACTTCGAAATAGATTTTGAAATAACGGGCGGCTTATTCCAATGTCCCGGTAACCCTCATTCCACGAGGATTAAGAGGCATTTTGGAATAGAGAGTTATTTTAAAATTTGGTGCTGTGTAGACAGCACCAAATTACGAAATAAGCCATTTTGAAATAGCATCAAAATAAGCTATGCAATTTGTATAGCTTATTTCGAGCTAAGGGTGCTGTGTAGATGCACCCTTACAGAGTAGGGTGAGAGAAAGAGAGAGATTTTGTTTTTAAAAGTTCACTTAGCTTGTTAAATTATGTGTTGGTTTATGTTTCTTTTTTTATTTTCTTTGTGACCAGTTCTGACGTTTATGCCTTATAACTTGTAATCCCTTAAACCCTATCTTTCTGTCGTTAATAAACTTATTGTAGTACTGTATCTAAACCAATGTGTGTTTACACTGAAGTTATGGGGAACCCTAACTTCAGATAACCAGGTTGGTGCATAATCATTTTCCTTTGATGCAGTGATGTACTTTCTATGATCTGGTACTGAGCAGGACAGGACGCTCATATCTGGGGAAGAAAGGTGGAACTAAGAATTTGCAGGCATCGCCTGTGTGTAATTCCCGAGAGGCTAGTTAGCAGCATTCAAACCTGAGTAGCTGGGAGCAAGTTACATGCTGGAGGCTGTGTGCAAGAAGAGCCCGGACTGGTGGCTACTTGCCAGCAAAGCCATGTACAAGGTGCCCCAGACTAGAGAATGTAGGAGATACAGCTCTTTAACAGTCCCGATTGCACCTTGGGGAATGTCGTATTCAGTCACTGCATGTATGCTAACCCTCTGGTTCCATACACACAAAGAAGGCATAGCCGAGGACAGGCTGCTGATGTGTATGTTACATGTCACAGAATCTCTCATTGTTGATGCTATTTCTCAGTGTATGGTTCCTTTGCATATGTGGCCAGAGCCTCGGATGATGTAAATCCATGTAAGTCAATGGAGCTATGCTGATTTACAGAAAGGTCCGTCTAGCCCAATATGTGGTCTTTTAGCAGCAGCCAATGCCAGGTGCTTCTGAGGGAATGAACAGACTGGGGCAGTCATTGAGTGTTCCATTCCCTTGTCATCCATCATTGATGAACCTATCCTCTATGAACTTATCTAATTCTTTTGTGAACCCTGTTATACTTTCAGCCTTCACAACTTCCCCTGGCAATGAGTTCTACAGATCGACTGTGTGTTGTGTGGGAAAAAAAATACTTTAGTTTGTTTTAAACCTGCTGGCTTTTAATTTCATTGGGGATCCCTGGTTCTTGTGTTATGTGAAAAGGTAAAAATCACTTCCTTATTCACTTTCTCCACACTATTCAGGGTTGTACAGGCTTCTTTCATACACCCGCCCCGCATAGTTATCTCTTTTCCAAGCTGAAACCCCCCCAGACTTTTTAACCACTCCTCATATGGAAGCTGTTTCATGCTCTTAATTATTTGTGTTGCCTTTCTTTGAACCTTTTCCACTTCTAATAGATCTTTTTTTGAGATACATCCAGATAATCCCAGCAGCTGTCCTGCATCCGTACACTGTGGAGGAAGGTGAAAATCCTGTTTTGGTCCTTATCACTCTGCCCTGGGGAAAAATCCTCAAATCCCACACATGGCAATCAGTTAGATATGGGGTGTGTGAGCAAGAACCAGCCAGTCCAGCACCCGAGTCAACATGCTTGGGGCCGCCTTAAATATCTGGTCCTCCCAATATGCCATCTCCAGTCATGGCTATCCCTAATGCTTAAAAGCCAGGAGATTAAAAACCCTTCCAGAATATACTGGAAAGGGTGTGTGTGAATTCCTTCCTGACCCCTGATAGTGTCTGGGTGAAACTTTAAAGCATGAGCGTATGAACATAAGACATCAATCCAGAAGTGAGCCTAGGTCTGTTGAGACAATGACAAGCAACTCTGTCCTACAATCACCCTTTTAAAATTTGTCCAGCTCTCCATTTAAAAAACTAATTAAGTTGTTTGGCCCTGCAGCTCCTATTGGGAGGCTGTTACAGAGCCTTAAACCTCTGATAGTTAGAAAATTTAATTGCAGCCTGAATTTGTTCTGGCTGCTTTATATCCTTTTGTTCTTGTGCTGTCATCGTCCTGTGGCTTAAATAACTCTATGGGGTCCGACCCATTGACTTCAGTGGACTGTGATTTACACAAGTCTGGGATCTGGCTCCCTAATATTCAACAAAGGGGCGATGATTTACTGTGCCCGTTCATCTCTGGTGGTGGTGTGTATAAATATCAATCAATCAATCAATCAATCAGTAGAAAGTCATTTCCATCTGTCTCAGGAAAGGAGCAGTGAAGATGGGTCCTCCAAGCCTGTCTAGAAAGGTTGCAGGGAAGGAACCAATCAGAACCCAGCAAGCCTCAGATAAAAGGAGCTGCAGGTCCTCCCCCTCCTTAGTTACTGCTAGCTAGGGGGCAGAAAGGTGAGGAAGGGTGGGAAGCTAGTGTGAAATCCCTAGGAAAAGAGGCTGGAAGAGACTGCTCAAGCTGGGGGAAAAACCCAGAGACCCTTGAGTTAAAAGGGAAGTGGCTATGTGGGAATGGGGCCCACAGCTAGTACAGGAAGCAGCATGTGGCAGGAACTAGAAGAGTGTGGGTCAGAGCCATCATCTCCGCTCCCCCCCCCACTGGCAGGGTTCCCTGAGTAGGAGCTAAAGCTTGTTTAAAGACCCAAGCAGACCGTAACAGCCTCTCAAGGGGAAGCCCTGGGAGCACTGTGCTAGGGGAGGGGTGGGGGTGGGGATTGAAAGCTAGCCCAGGAGGGTCACAAGGACAGGCCCTGTTAGATCTTCTACTTCAAAAGGGGTTTGTCTGTCCATGTGTTTGACTGTGTGACCCAGTGAGGGACTGATCCCCCCGGAGAACTGCCGGGTGAGGACATCAGCTAACGGGGCCCCAGGATCAGAGAGCACAGCTGTGCACCCAGCCCAGAGGTGAGTGCCTCCTGCCACAGGGCCTAAATATGAGTTTATGAGCCGAACGTCAGGTTGCTAGGTTTTTCTATGGACACTCTTAGCCTACCCTAGTTATCCCATCCCATGGGACAGCGCATGCTTTCATTATCCCCAGAAATGTCCATGGGATGTGTGTTCTCGGGGAGTCCCACCCCGCTCTGCTGCTGGGAACATTCTCCAGCT